GGCGGTGCACGTGTCGGCCTGTGTGGGACAGCCGGCGGTGCACGTGTCGGCCTGTGTGGGACAGCCGGTGGTGCATGTGTCAGCGTGTGTGGGACAGCTGTGATTAGCAGGTTTTCCCCAAGGACTGTTCCGACAAGTCTCCACAGCTCGAGTGTGTGCATGTGTGTGTGTGTGTGTGTATGTGTGTGTATGTGTTTTGCAGGGTTTTCACTCTGGCGCACGGTTATGTGTGTATGTGTTTATCTCCCATGCAGACTCCCCCTCACAGCGTGGGGGTGTGCCATTTACCGCTGTCTCCCAAGCCCCATGCACCCATGGGCCCGCACCACCTGCTAAGCGTCATGCTAAGCACTTTGTTCCCAAGTGACGGGCCTCCATTGCACTTTCCCATTCATCAGGTGTCATTTCTACATCCACTGTGCACTGACATAGGCCCTAGGAGACAGAGAACTGAGACACAGTCCTCCCCTTTATTGCTCCCAGCCTGGCCCAGGAGGTCAGTATGTAGACAGTGGGGGTGGTGCAGAGTGGTGAGTGCAGTCTACATGCACCTTGTGCCCCAGGGCTCACAAGAAGGGACCCACATGGGCTGGTGGATGGAGCCTCACAGATCAGAGACGTTTTCCCTGAAAGGCTGCATATGGTCAGAGACAGCCCCTGGAATGAGGCAGTGAGTGGGTCCCAGTGTGGACACAAGCGTGGGACAATATGTGGGCAGGGGAGAATGGAGCTTGCTTGCAGGAGCTCCTTTGCTGTGACCCCACACTGCTGTGAGTGCAGGTGCAGCTGTCGGAGGCCTGCCGAGGCATGACAGTGAGTGGGCAGAGACGGACTAGATAGTAGCAGAAGTGAGTTCACGTGAAAGTTGAGTTTGGGGATATAGGTGCTAGAGACCCTTCTTGAACCCCAGGTGGAAATTTCAGGAAGTGTTTGAAACTGTCGCTCTGGATCACAGTGGGGTCTGGTCCTGCCCTCACAGGTCATAGAAGGCTGGGCACTGCCAGAGCCATTGAAGCACTTGAAGCTCTGAGGTGGACGCCCATGAGGCGCAAATGGAAAGACAGCCGAGTGGAGGGTCTGTGAGGGAGGCGTTGGGACGGGGGGTGGGGTTGGCCTGCCAGGTGCCCGGGAGACCCTGTAGGATGTGTCCCAAAAGGAGCACATCAGTGCTCTCTGCCACTTTCCCTCCTGGCCTCCTGCTGGCCCTTGAACCCCATCTGTGGATTCAGATTCCCCACATGCCAGCAGGAACCTGATGTCTGCAGGACGTTTCTGTCGGCTCCGTTCCATCATGAGCTGTGATGCTGTCTGACTCTCCGATGGTGGCCATAGTACCCTTATTTCCAAGTTCTGGGGAGAACATCATTCTGCCCCCGACACCAGTAGCCTGTGCTTTTTTAAAGTGAAAGAAAAAGGCCCAATAGAACAATGGCAAGAAATTGACTTAACCTCGGTAGTGAAATTGTTAGGACTCCCCCCCCCCGCCCTCCCTCTCGTACTACCTCATACATATTTGTTAGTTTATTAACCAAAAGTAGAGTTATAATTTATCATTTTCTCTAGTTGGGCAACTGGAATATTGATATTTTAATCTTCATAAACCCAGGAAAGCTGGGTCACTTCTGAGGGCCAAGCTCAACTCTGCTTATAACGGAGGGGATCATGTAAAAATCAGGAAAATAGGGATAAGCCAGCTGTTTCTCTTTGATTATTGTGATGATGATGATGATTTTCAGACAGTGCCTTGCTCTGTCACCCAGGCGGGAATGCAGCGGCACAATCATATCTCACTGCAGCCACAGAGTCCTGAGCTCAAGGGATCCTCCCACCTGTGCCTCCCACAGTGCTGAGATTATAGATGTGAGCTACTGTACCTGGCTGTCTTTGATTTTTAAAATTATTTTGCATATTGCTTTTAAAAATATGTGATTATGTATTACAACTAGAAAGAGTGTTTAAAAAATATCTCAGAAGACTTGCTTGAAAACACCACAGGGACCAGGCGTGGTGGCTCACACCTGTAATCCCAGCACTTTGGGAGGCTGAGGCGAGTGGATCACCTGAGGTCAGGCGATCAAGACCAGCCTGGCCAACGTAGCGAAGCCCCTTCTCCGCTAAAAATACAAAAATTAGCTGGGCGTAATGTCAGGCGTCTGTAGTCGCAGCTACTCAGGAGGCTGAGGCAGGGGAATTGCTTGAATGCAGGAGCCAGAGGTGCAGTGAGCCAAGATCGCACCACTGTACTTCAGCCTGGGCAACAGAGTCAACTGGCTCAAAAACACCACCACACAGGAACAGTGAAGATACAGGGATAGCAGTGACGCTTTTCAAAGCAGCCCTCCTGGCCGGTGCTGGGGGCTGATGGGCAGTGAGCCCTGTGTCGCTTGCCCTGGCTTCATGTTCTTGGATGTCACAAGCAAGCGTTTTCCTGAAGGCCTTTAGGGCCCTTCTCTTCTGCCTGTACCCGTCACCAAATCGTGTGTGGAGACCTTGAGTAGTTGCACTCCTCTAGGATGTCTTTTTGGGAAAGTTAAAAGAGCTTTTTCTGGAAGATGATGGTGCACTGAGTCGCTGGTGAAGTTGGACAGGGCCCTGGTGTCGCCAGTCTCCATCTGCTTTCCTCACCCACAGGACAGAGGGCCTGGTGGACTCCTTTTCTCAGGGACTGGAAAGGTCGTACGCTGTCAGCAGCAGCGTGCTACACGGCATCGAGCCTCGGCTGAAGGACTTCCACCAGCTCCTGCTCAACCCGCCCAAGGTGAGTGGCCGTGGCGACTGCCGAGGGCCTTTGGAGGCATTGCAGGAGAGGGTGATGTGCAGGGAGAGGAACCCACAGCTTGTCCCACAGGAAGCAGTGTGTGGAGGGAATGTGTTCTAAGATGGCCATTCCCACACCTCACTTGAGAAGCACCAGGCAGATGCCAAAACACACATTTTCAGGACTGCTCCCCTCCTCGATCTGCAAGGGAGGCCTGGGAGTTGTACATTTTACAGCCTCCCCAGGCAGCTGACCCTGAGTTCACCATAGGCCTAGCCTCCAAGTTGGGGACACCTAGCTAAGGGATGCTCAGCTCCTGAGAGGGGACCAGGGGGTTGCAGGGGAGGCCCTTTGCCCCATTCAGCAGCACTGGTCGATGCGTGGGTCCCGTTGAGGAGGGTGAAGCACACAAAGGCTCCTTCCAGCCCAGTCACAGCCAGGCTGCCCCCTGTCCCATCTTACCCTACCCAGACACAGGCAGGCTGCCTCCCCATCCTGCCTCACCATCCCCAGACACAGCCAGGCTGCCCCCCCATCCCACCTCACCCTCCCCAGACATAGCCAGGCTGCCCCCCCATCCCACCTCACCCTCCCCAGACACAGCCAGGCTGCCCCTACATCCTGTCTCACCCTCCCCAGACACAGCCCCACCCCTGCTGCATGGCACCCACTTGACCTACAGCTCAGTTCCTCTCACTCACCCCCTTGGTAAGATCCACCTGCGACACTAGTAAGCTTCGTGGGGGCCGGGATTCTGTTTTGTCAGCCTGGAGTCTTCAGTGAAGAGAAGGCAGATGTATTATGCTGAGTGTGGGGGATCAGAAGAGACCTGAGTCCCATCCAAGGAGACGCTCCCATCAGTCTCCCCAAAGTGTTCACAGGACACCTGTTAATTTGCTGTTCTGAAGTCGTGTCCCCGGAGGGTACCCCATGGGCATCCTCACTGAGGCATCGTGGCAGGGGTTCTGGCCTCTGCTGGCCCCATCTTGAACATCTCACCCACCGAGGGGCACAGCTCTTTAGCCCTGCAGGCTCAGACTGGAGTGCCCATGAGCATCCTAGGAGCACTCTGTGAGGCCCTGAGGGGAGCAGCGGGCCCTTTACCCCATTGATCCTTTCATTTCTTCTGACAGACAGCCAGCCCTCCCTGAGGAACCCCCACCACATACCTCACTCCCCTAGGCTGGGCCCCAGCCCTGGAGTGGTGGGCATGAGCCCAGAGAGTCCAGCAGTGGTGTCACTGCTCACGGGCCTAACTAGGTGGTGCTGTCTGTGTTTGCAGAAGAAAGCGATCCTGACCACCATCGGTGTGCTGGAGGAGCCCCTGGGGAATGCCCGCCTGCATGGTGCCCGCCTCATGGCAGCACTGCTGCACACAAACACACCCAGCATCAACCAGGAGCTCTGCCGGCTCAACACCATGGACTTGCTGCTGGTAAGTGGCCCTCAGCCAGTCCTGCATGTCAGTGAGTGCGCCGGGCACAGCCTGTGGACTTGTCAGGAGCAGCAGAGCAGGGCCCCGGTGTTTGGACAAAGCTCTGCCAAGGGGAGGTCCCAGTCCCAAGTCCCAAGGCTGGAGCACAGGTCCCTGGTGGGGCCTGGAGCAGCAGTGGGGCGTGCCTCCGCCGCAGTAGACTCGTGGGAAGTGATGAGGCTTCTGTCGAATTGGCCTGAAAACGGCAGATTTCTAACCTTGGTGGGTGAAATCTACCTCCTTCCTTGTGTTCTGACCAAACAGCATAGAACTTACACAGTGGTTATTAGGTATAAAACATGCTAAAAAAGAAGCTCCCGTCTTCCATAATGGAAGGTCACCCTGGCAGTTTCTGTCAAAGCCGGTAGGCAGTGCTTCTCCATCCCGTAGGCGGCCTGCAAGATGCTCCAGGTATCTGAGGAGAGGAATGGGCGGCGGGCAGTGCTAGCTGAGGGGAGCAGGCTCCTCTGCAGAGAGCACGAGGGCTGCTCCCCTGAGAGCAAGGGGCACTACCCTAGTGGGTCCTGTTGGCAGATGCAGCCCCCCTCTTCTGCCTGGCTCTGGGGCTCTACCGGAGTCTCCCTGTAGGCTTAGTCCCAGGGTGAGCCTCAGCGCTGGGCCGGAAGTGCTGTCTGCCTAGAGGTTCTGTTAGCATTGAGAAGTTCTGGGCTCTGCTTTGGCTGTCAGAGCCCAGTCTGCATCAGGGGAGCAATTATAAAAGACCTACTTCCTTTCCCTCTTGAGAAGAACTCTCTCTTCCACTTTCTTCCTCTCTTTTATATGTATACTGTGGTAAAATATCATAACATAAACTTTGCTGTTTTAACTATTTTAAGGTGTATAATTCAGTGCATTCACAATCTTGTGTAGCCATTACCACTGTCCATATCTAGAGCTTTTTCATTTTGTCAAACAGAAATCCTCTCTCCATTAAACACTAACTCCCCATTCATTCTTCCTCTCCACAGCCTCTGGCAACCACCGTTCTCCTTTCTGTCTCTGAATTTGACTATTTTAGGTACAGTTTATAAGTGGAATCATAAAGTATTGTCTTTTGTGACTGACTGACTTCACTTAGCATTATGTGCCCAAGGTTCATTCAGTATTGTACTGTATGTCAAAATTTCTTTCCGGCCGGGCATGGTGGCTCACGCCTGTAATCCAAGGACTTTGGAGGCCAAGGCGGGCAGATCACCTGAGGTCGGGAGTTCAAGACCAGCCTGACCAGCATGGTGAAACCCCTGTCTTTAAAAAAAAAAAAATTTCTTTCCTTTTTAAGACTGAATAATTATTATATGGGGGGGGCCACATTCTGTCCATCGTGGACAGTTGGGTTGCTTCCACCCTTGGCTATTGTGAATAAGGCTGCTGTATTCATGAGTGTAGAAATACCTGAAAGGAAGAACATCCTTTCCATTCTTTTGGATAAATACCTATGAGTGAAATTGCAAGGTCATATGACAATTCTGTGGTTAGTTCTTGAGGAACAGCCGAGCTTTTCCACGTGGCTGCACCATTTTATCTTCCTGTCAGCAGTGCGCACGGTTTCCATTCCTCCACGTCCTTGCCCACATCCCCGCCAACACTTGTTTTCCTTCTTCTGATAATAGGCGTCCTGATACGGATGTGAAATGGTGTCTCCTTGTGGGGTTAATTTGCATTCCCCTCAGGATTAGTGATGTTGAGCTGCGTTTCATGTGCTCATTGGCCATTTGTATGTTTTCATTGGAGAAATGCCTATCCAACTCCTTTGACCATTTTTGTAAATTGAGGGTTTTTTTTAGTTGTAGAAGTTCTTTATATATTCTGGATATTAATCCTTTATCAGATATATGCAAATGTTTTCTTCTTTTTTTTGGGTTATCTTTTTACATAAAATTTTTTTTTAGAGGTAGGGTCTTGCAGTACAGTGTTCATAGCCCCCTGTAGCCTTGAACTCCCAGGCTGAAGGGACCCTCCCACCTCAGCCTCCTGAGTAGCTAGGGCTCCAGGCATGCACCACCACATCCAGCTAATTTTTAAATTTTTTGTAGAGATGGGGTCTCACTATGTTGACCAGGCTGGTCTTGAGCTCCTGACTTCAAGCGATGCTCCAGCCTTGGCCCCCCAAAGTGCTGGAATGACAGGCATGAGCCACCAGCCATCCAGCCTTTACTCCTGTGATGATGGTCTTTGACATGCAAATTTTAAATTTTGATGAAATCCAATGTATCTTTTTTTCTTTGTTGCCTGTGCTTTCGGTGTCATATCCGGAAGAGTCATTGCGAAATCCAGCATCGTGAAGCTTTTCCTCTGTGCTTCCTTCAACAGGTTTTATGTTTTCTCCCTTATGCTGAGGTCTTTGGTCCATCTTGAATTAATTTTTGTATCTGGTGAAAGGTTAGGGTCCAGCTTCATTCTTTTGCATGGGGTTAACAGTTTTCACAGCACTTGGTGAAAAGACTGTCCTAGGCTGGGCACAGTGGCTCACACCTGTAATCCTAGCACTTTGGGAGGCCAAGGCAGGCGGATCACAAAGTCAGAAGTTCAAGACCAGCCTGGCCAACATGGTGAAACCCTTTCTCTACTAAAAATACAAAAACGACCTGGACATAGTGGCACATACCTGTGGTCCCAGCTACTCAGGAAGCTGAGGCAGGAGAATTGCTTGAACCCGGGAGGCGGAGGTTGCAGTGAGTGGAGATTGCACCATTGTACTCCAGCCTGAGCGACAGAGCAAAACTCCATCTTAA